GGAGAAACTTGAAGGAAGTAGTCTCTTTCACATACACACCTACCTTGGCACGCAGCATCGTTTCAACTACAGGCGGCACTACCACAGACGAGGACCTCATATCAGCCAGAATCGGAAAGACACCAAGACAGGCCTTCGTCAACCTGAAACCAGTGTGGAGATCTTCTGCACTTCACTCAGCATAAAGTGTCAACAAAATCCAGATTTTCAATACCAATTCAGTCAAGTCAGTGCCTCTGTATGGCTCAGAGACTTGGCGTGTTATGAGGGGGATTGCCAACAAACTACAGATATTCATCAACAACTGTCACCTACACTGGCTCATTACTGAAGCTCATATGGTCAGAAGGGATGAATGAGTAAGGAGGAACTCTGGTTGGCTGGCAACGAAGCAATCAAGAACCTATCACTCAACAAATCTGCATTGGAAGGAAGTGGAGATGGAGATGGATTGTGAATAGACTGAGAATGCAGACTGGGGACATCACGCGTCAGGCCAATTATTCGAGTGGAAGCGAGATGGGAAGTGACGAGTTGGGCGTCTGAGGTGAGGATGACATGGAGGAGATGGTGCGAGGAATAAATGAGAGGTTGTGGGCAGTGGTGGAGCCATGTCGAAAAGATTGTAGAGAAGAGAATGGAATGGAGGCTTGCTACTGAATCTGTATGTTCCATTAGGTTCCCAAGGGACAAATAATAATAATTTGCTTTGTGATGAACTGTCTTTCATGAGTTTTAACAAGAATAACTATGGTTTGTAAAGTGATTCGTTTCATAACTACTTATCTAGTGTTTTAAACACCTAAAGACTAGTGTTATTTCTTTGTATTACAGCGTCGTTGACTAAACCGAACTGATGTATCTCTATAAGGATATGGTCTGCTGCGAGAATACCTCAGTATTTCCTGACGTTTAAATTTTACAGTAATGATGAATAGTGGCTAATAGCCAACATAAAAACTAAAATCATTGCACAAGAAGTAGCTATTGTGACTCAATAGCCTGGTGGATAACACTTTGTAGTTTGAAGCGATCAATCCAGAGTTCGATCTCTAGTGGAGACAAAAGTACTCACTGGGAGGTGAGTCTCAAACAGGATGAAACGTGTACCTTGGATTCCACTGCCAGCCATCGTCCACCATTACTTAAAGACTAAATCCAATCAGATGATTGGTTCAAAGTAGTTTCAAGGAACATCTAGGTCACCAAAATTATATCTCCACAGCCCTCTGGTTGCTAGTCCCTTTGCTGTAATAACCACTATGCATAGCTGAAATGTAAACAGATTATTCGTTATATTTCATTAACTTACTGAGTTATCAGATTGTCAAGTTAGTGAAAGATGTTCACTTCATTTGTTCTTTACCACATAAACTACATGGTTGAATATTTTCATAGTGAGACATAAGATGGAATAGTGGACTATTTATCATTCTTTTGTCTTCCATAACCATATTCACATGCTGAATAATAACTGATATTCAAAAAACCAGAGTTGTATCCGGATTCACTTAGAAAGCTTTCATGTTATTGGTTATTTTTCTACTAGATGAAGTATATACAATATAGTAGTAAAGTGATTACTCATTCGAATTTCATGTAATATCATCCAGAAGCTTTCATAAAGCTTATAATAATAATAATTATTATAACGTCTTTATTCTGAAAAATATTTCAAGAATTTTCAGTATGTCATATTGTTTGTACTACTTTTCCTCTGAGTTCCTAGTGAAATATAGGGATTCAGTAGCATATCTGCATTGCACTCTGTTGTCCGCAGTTTTTGAACTTGGTTGCACGACTGCCTGACTCATCGTTTCCTATCTGGCTTTCACTCGACGGCCTGAAGCATGATGTCCTCAAACGCTCTTCTCAGTCTATGCCCAATACAATCCATCTCAACTTCCTTCTTCTGCAGATTTGTTGCGCGATAGCTGCCTGCTTCGTTGGCTGGTCCATTGCAAGGCCACAGTTCCTCCTGGCTTATTCTCATCATTCTGACCATCTCATGTGATCTTCAGTATCGAATGAGTGTAGGCAGCAGCTGTTGATGAATGTCTGTAGTTTGTTGGAAATGCTATTCGTTAGGCGCCGAATCTCCCAACCATCACATGGAAGCAGTGAGTTACTCGAGTGAATTAGTGTTGAAAATGAGGATGTTGTTCATGGTTTATGCTGATTACAATGTAGTGGTGTGCAGTAGATCTCCACATCGATCTCCACAGATGAATGAATGCCTGTTTTGCTGTCTTTCATATCCTGAGTTGACATCGTCATCTGTGCGTATGCCACCACCTGTAGTTGAGATGATGCTGCCTAAGGGAGTAGCTGAAACAGACAACTTCCTTCACATTTTTCCCTGATGGTGATTGGCGCTTGTTGTCGCTGGTGGTGTTTGGGTATCATCATTGCCTCTGTCTTCTCTCTCTCTCTCCCTCTCTCTGTAAGCTCTCACACTTCATCTGAAGGCTCAAGAATCTTAATAAACAGATAAACATTCATACAACCTGTGTTGTTAGCTGCATGGAATTAACAGTTCGCTTTTTGTTCACTTCTTGTAAGATTGATAACGAATACTTATATTAAACGGATGTTTATCTTGGACCTTCAAATGAAGTGTGAGAGTATATATATATATATATATATATATATATATATATATATATATATATATATATATATATATATATATATATATGCCTTGAAGGTCACTAATTGGTTTCTTGAAAAACGTACACCTAGTTTCATGTAAAACGCAAGGAGTCATAGAAGAGTAAACAAAACCAGTTACGTTGCTCTTTCAGCTTCCATCATTTCAGAAAATGACCTGTTATGCATTCAGTTCTTTAAGATTCAATTATTTAAAACTTCATATTATTTTCATCAGCTGCCTACAATCCTATATGGAGCATTTTAAGATACCGGTCAATATTTTAAAGATCGGGAAAGCATTACATTTCAGCACATATAGTAGATTCTGGCGATAAATTCAGTTAAACTAGATAGTGGTTACATAGGACAAGGCAAAGAATGCTCATGAATCATTGTAGGAAGACTAGAAGTAAGTAGAAGTTGTTACGCAACCAAACGGGATATTATGTCAACGGAACGATAAGCTAGTGAGACAAAATAATGGTAATAATAGTTAATATGGTAATAATGACAAGCTATTTAGTATGACAAAGTCTCAAATCATTTTAACTCTAACTATATTTATCACTTCACATGTGCATGCGGTAGGAAGTACATAGGAAGGAGAGGTATACAGCAGTCTACTGGGACTGCCGAGCACATATCAAAGAATCTACGTCTTTGAGGTTCATCCCCACTTAGCACTGCAATAGCTCATTTCTCAAGTGATGCTAAACATGAAGCAAACGCTATGAAATGCTTCATATTAGTCAACAGATAGAAGGCCTCGTGCCTACTTCGAATTGCCGAAGCCATCACCATCTTATGAGTTCAACTGGATCTGTATGTTCTGAAGGAGACAGTTAACAACTGATTAGTGCCGTGATAATAAGTGACTTTTCATCCTCTTTTCTTTCCCAAAGTACTTGCATTAAGTTTATTTTGCTCTCATCCTTATCCATATTCATATTAACTGGCGTTTCATCGTGACCATATTTATCATTACTACGATATTTTTATCTCACCCACCTATCATTCTGTCGACATAATATTCTCACGCGATTACGCAACCACTTCTAATCTTATCTCACTTATTCATGAATATTCCTCACCTTGCCTTATATAATTCTTACCTAGTTTAACTGAATTTATCATCGGAAAGTGCTTTGTGTACTGAACTGCAATGCTTTCCTGAACTTTAAATCATTTACCGGTATCTGAAAAAGCTTGTTTACAGCCGATGAGGATCCTATGAAATAAAATTATATCGTTTCATATTGGTGTTGGTGACCAGCAGAGGACTGCAGGTCGCGCATTTCAACCCAAAAGAGACCCGCATCGGAGCCAGTCTGCCAATGGAGGTTCAGTTATTCGGTTTTGTGTAGCAACGGGAAATGATAAGTATCAATGTAACAAGTGATGACCGTTCCACAAGATGTGATTACCATGACCCAGTGGCTTAGTGGAAGACGCTCTGGTGTTTGAAGTGAAGGGTACTGGTTTGGAGCTTCAGTGGGAATATCACTTACTGGGATACAGATACATCCAGCTGACGAGTCCCCAGTAGAACGAAACACCCGTCAACTGGATTCCTCTACTAATCATGAAGATTAATATAATATCATGAATATCCAGTAGAAACGAGATATCCGCATAGGATCCTATCTACCAACAGAGATCTAGGAATTCGGCCCTGTATGTCAAACGGAAATTGCAAGTATCATTATAATAAGATGATATCATCTTATTTTGCGAATGGTTTTCTCCTTGCGTTATTCATTCATTCATTTTGAGGACCTAGTATTTGAAACTGCGGACAAGTTCAACCCAACCCTCTCTTGTTGGTTTACGTGTTCTTAACAGTCAAACTCTTTTCGAAGGTCACAACGTCCTTGAAACTGGTTGTCTAAAGACCTTACCCTGGCACAAATAGCAATCAAATAAACTATTTTACCCAAGTAATTAGACCCAAAACAATCCTACGCAGGCAATATCGAGGCATCCGTACAGGAGCCCATATGCCAAAAGAGACTGATCAATTCGGTCCAATCAACGACGGTGTCAAACAAGCAATAACACTAAAAGTATACCCGTCGCACAAGAAGTGGCTATCGTGGCTTGGTGGTGTAGTGGATAACGTTTTCGCGCTTGGGGCGATCGCTCCTGAGTCCGAATCCCGGTGGGAACAACACTCACTGGGAAGCAGGTATATCCAGTTGACTGGTGAGTCCCAAATTGGACGAAATGAGCATTCTGGATTCCACTGCCCATCATTACTATATATAATCCTACGACATATAGAAATATTCTAATAAAATTCGTAAATGATACAGAAAGCAATAAAAATAAAGTATTCTTGGATGACAAACCTGTTTATATAGATTGTTCCATTGTCCACTCCTTTGTTGTTAACTAATTGTTGTTGATTCGTATGAACAAGCTCATTTCTGTTGTTAATCGATTTAGATTTTTTAGATGAAAATTTCAGTTTGATTTGTATGCAAAACATTAGAATGATTGTTGATAATAAAATGAAACTAGAAAATATTTGTACTTCTGATGATTTCAATAAGAGTAAATAGCGAAGATGCCAAACTCCAGTATTTCCATTAATCATTTTCTCAGCCTAACTCAGACTATTTTATTTTCAATTGAGTTTCATAAACTTCTTGTTTGGATAGTTTTGGTCAATTTCTTTACAGATCTATTCTTAACTATTCTTTCATTTCCGTAGGTAAAATTACTACATGGAAACTTTTCAATAAATATATTTTTTTTATAGTAGTATTATTTCCCCTTCAGCATTTATCATTACTTAGGTATGAGTTGTTCAATGTGTGGAAATAATCTAGACCATAGTTGTCTCATTTTACTTTTTTCAAAAATACTTTTCAATTCTATTTTTGTAGTCTTGTTCAATGATAATTAGTGTTTAAACACATATATGATTGTCATCCTATCAAGGTCATTGCCTGCTGACCAATCAGATTCCAGTAGCAAGGATATATAGACTAAGACATATTCAGCTAGACATTGAATATGTTAATTATTCTGCGACAAAAATAACCGATAAAAAAAACTTTTTTCTTGAGTATTACAAATTAGTTGTAGATATAAATTATTAGTAGAAAAATATTAATAGAAAGGTTGTTTTTGAGGTTATCATAGTGGTGTAACCTATTTTATGACCTGTAAGTATATAACTGTAAACTAAAAAATACTAATCGGACAATCACTGAGAACATGAGAGTATTAGTATACATTTTCTAAGCTCTGTCAATTGGATTCTAATTCAGTGACTGGATGATACAATGTTCCCCGCTAGAACTGACGGTCATGGTCCCCTATGGGCTACATTATCCTATATACTTGACACGACCATCGTCATAGCCTTTTTTTATTGATAAAATGATGTTTCTACTAAGTAAAAATGTCTTTAGGCTTGGTATGAAATAAATCACATTTCAATGAGGTTTTACACAGCTTTTACAGGCTCTTCAAAATCTTAATGTGGTGTTCATCATAGACTGATATTGGTTGTAGAACACTTGAAAACGTGAAAATCCCTGAAAAATGTTTCGTCCCAGCATGAAACTCTTCAGCAGTCTCCACCACTGTTATTCTAGCCTCCTTTAGTTTTATATTGTTACCAAGCTTCTTAATTGATGTTCATTTACCACGTTTAAAAATGACAAAATCTTTATTCTTTTCAATATTCATTTTTTTATTGCCATCATTATCATTATAATCAATCACTCATATCATTACCACTATAATCTACACCCTGAAGGATCGGTGGTGGAAGAACACTGAAACTCTTTGAAAGAGATATGGAAGGAAACCTACATAACCAATATTAGCAAGGAAGAAGAAGAAGCAAGACAAGGAATGGATCTCGACGGACACATGGAAGTTGATAGAGAAGGGAGAGAAGGATGGTGAAGCAGAAGATGAACCAGTTCAGTGCAGGGATGAATAACGAAAAGAGGAACTGAGTACAATGTATAAAACATTGGACGAAGAAGTGAAGAGGAGTGCGCACAAAGAAAAAAGACACTTCTACAACACGCTGACAAGTGAAGCAGAACAGGCTGCAGGTAGGAGAGATAGAGACTTGAAGACATTATATCAAATAACTAGGTTACTTTCTGGAATGAAAGACATCAATGGAGACGAAAACAATGAAAGATAGTGAAGGAAAGCTACAAACTCAAAGATCTGCAGGCAAGTTGAAAGGAGAGGCGGGCAGAGAAAATGGAACTTCAAGTGAATGTCGATAAGACAGAGGTGATGAAGATACCCAACAAACAATAACAAGAACAACAAGCACTAACCACCATGGCCGGTAGAAATCTGAAGGAAGTAGTCTCTTTCACATACACACCTACCTTGGCACGCAGCATCGTTTCAACTACAGGCGGCACTACCACAGACGAGGACCTCATATCAGCCAGAATCGGAAAGACACCAAGACAGGCCTTCGTCAACCTGAAACCAGTGTGGAGATCTTCTGCACTTCACTCAGCATAAAGTGTCAACAAAATCCAGATTTTCAATACCAATTCAGTCAAGTCAGTGCCTCTGTATGGCTCAGAGACTTGGCGTGTTATGAGGGGGATTGCCAACAAACTACAGATATTCATCAACAACTGTCACCTACACTGGCTCATTACTGAAGCTCATATGGTCAGAAGGGATGAATGAGTAGTGAGGAACTCTGGTTGGCTGGCAACGAAGCAATCAAGAACCTATCACTCAACAAATATGCGATGGAAGGGAGTGGAGATGGATTGTGAATACACTGAGAATGCAGACTGGGGATATCATGCGTCAGGCGAGTTGTTCGAGTGGAAGCGAGATGGGAAGTGACGAGTTGGGCATCTGAAGTGAGGGTGATATGGAGGATATGGTGTGAGAAAGAAATGAGAGGTTGTGGGCATTCGTGGAGCCATGTTGAAAAGATTGCAGAGGGCAGAGTGTAGTGGAGACGTGCTACTGAATTTGTATGTTCCACTAGGAACCTAAGGGAGAAATAATAGATCATTATAATAAATCAGGTCAACTATTTTATCCTGAAGTCTATAAAAATATTTATTGTTATTTCATATTCTCTTATTGATTAGTTAGCATGTGTTGACAAGTATGATTAGTTTTTGTCACAAAAGTTAAAGTAAATAGACTTTTGGTGAGATGAGAAGTTAACTCCTGCAACCCAACAAACAAGAGGCTTACAGTTTTCTTTCCTTCGAAATGTTACCGTAACGTGGTTAAAAATATCTGTGTTTCATGGTGATTAAAGGTGAAATGAAAACTTGTGCCGCGTCAGAATTCCAGCCAGCCGCTTCCGGGTCACCAGCATCGCCTTCTGGCAACTTGTCTTAATGGTTTCTCTTTGATCACCGACAGTTTTTGGCCTGGCTGTCATCATAGTAACTGTCCAGTTGAGAATTCTGACTGCAGTAGAAATTTAGCTGAATTTGAGAGCAGCAGCATAGTAGTAATTGTTGATGTGATTGGCTGAGACAGCTGTGGATTGGAAAACTGGTAACATTTGATGTAAGAGGATGCTCGAAGGTAAAGTTGATGTCTGTGTCACAGTAGAATTCAAACTAGCTGTCTACAGATTACCCGCTAAGTGTCTACTGAGGCACCGACATGTTTTCTCTGCTTCCTTGTTATCCGCTAAGAAATAACTATCACCCGTTCGCCTTAGATTCGAAGCACTAGAACAGCTAATCTAATTTCAGATAAAAGAGTCATTATACTGACAAAATAAGAGTCATTTCCAATAGTTCTGTCTGCTTTATATTATCTGTCATTAGCTGAAATTTCAGAAACACTTTAGTTTTCCTTAAGATTCTAGTCAAAGTCTTACCACTTCTACTAACCAAAAGAATGGTAACTTCTTCAAAAGATTTCGGAGAGAACAGACATTGAAATGATTTGGTAGTTACGAGATATAGTACCCAAAAGTATCAGCTCACTGATTTGTAAAACATCCAAGCTTAAATTTGAGTAGAAACTTGGAAAACAGTTTTGCACTGCGGTTTTTACAAAATGAAACTTTTCAAGTGAAAATTAGGTTGTATAACAACACCTTTTATGAGACGAATATTGATTCATAACTGTTTAATTTTGAGAAGAGGTCATAAATGTGATTTCTTTGTAACAATATGTGTGGTTGAAGAGCCCATAAACCAACTGAGGCTGATCAGTTCAGTGCATTCAACGACGAGATAATACAAGCAAGAAAATAACAATAATGCATATCACACAAAAAGTGGGTATCGTGACTCGGTGACTTAGTGGATAACATTTTGGCGTTTGTGATCGGTCTCTGGTTTTGGTGGGAACAGCGGGGCCCACAGGGAGGCAGGTACATCCCACTGACGAGTCCCGAATAAGACGAAACACGCATCCTGGCCTCCATTGCCAGCCACCAGCACCCATTAATATAAAATAGGTATGAGAGGTTCAAGTTCTGAAACGATCTGGGTTGTACGCCACAAATGTACACAGTTATCCCTTCTTCTAATCTTGAGAAACCTGTTTTCGTATGATATTTGGATGATGTGACAAAAAAATTTAGGTGGAAACCAGATAAACAGTTTTATCAGCCAGTTCCATAGAAAAATATTACAGGAGTAAAAATGTGTTTGCTATGCTATTGTCACTGTCTTCACCATGTGTACAGTGATTTACATGAAAGCTAGTAAAATTATCAGTGCATTTCAACTACTGAACGTCCACATCTTCAAGAAAGACCTTTGAATGTAGACTTATATAAATTTCTGGATTCTGATAAGAACTGATTCCTGGCAAAGTGCATAGAAGATGGAACTGTAGAATTTTACCGTCTGGAAACAACTCTTAATTGAACTTGAAATGAACAACCATGTCAAATGGAAGCTTATTTGGTCATTCTTTGAAGATGAAAATTACTGAAAAGATATCACTGAATGCAGATAGGTTTATGTCGTATTCTGATGATAACAATTTCGACCTAATCGAAAGGATTTACCTCTCAACGCTCCTTACTGTTTGCTAGTCCAGCGAGACTTTTCGTGTGTTATCATTGCCTAAAAAAGGATGAAATTGCTTACTGGAACATAAAAATGTGGTATGCTTTAGTATAAGGTTACTAACCTTAAAATCTTATCCCAATCTTTATTTAAACTCTCTTAAGCCTTCCATTTAATTTCAAATAGGTTTGTAGTAGTTCTCAAGCCGTCATCTTTCCAGTGCGCCCCCTAAAAACGAAACTTATTCGCTGTTTGTTTGCTGCTGCTCTTTGAAATCTCTGACCTCGATATATCGATTTTCAAATCGTCAAAATATAGCTCGTTGGTCTTTCCACCGGTGTTCATACATATAATATAGGGGTGAACTGAAGCCGCCAAAAGGCTTATTTACATACATATCATAATTCACACGGGTTAACATCGAGGAGTATTTGATTCGTGGTAGTAAAAGTCATTCACAAAACTTAGGTGAACTTGTAGGTATCTTGAGACAGCTACATTCTCTGTCATTCTCCTTCACTTTTGTATCACTAAAGTTAAAAATGACGAAACAGTCGTTTTTCTGTTGATAACTTCAAGGTCATTGAATAGTCAC